TTAAATTGAGCAAGGTAACGCAATTTTTTATGTTTTGTATAATAAGGTTTTGAAGGAGAATTAAATAACTACTACTTTAGTTGGTAGAGGAAATGTCTTTGAATGAATTGTGATTAAATAACCACTATTTTAGTTGGAAGAGGAAATGTCTTTGAATGAATTGTGATATGATAATTTCATTTAAGAGGAATTTAAACCATTTGTATTGAAATAGGAAGATTCTTCAATAAGTATACTTAGGTTTCATTGTATAAAAATTAAAGATAGTACCATTTGGATTAAGTAAATAATAAAGATAGTATCACTTAGGTTTTACTTTTTATTTTGTAGTAGAATTTAACTTGGCGCCACAACGCCACAGTTGTTGATATCAAATCATTTGTACAAATAATACATATTAGATTAATATTCATTATTTAATTTGGCATGATATAAAGAAGTAGGATTCCATTATTTAACTTAGCGCCGGTTCTTGGTATCAAATATTTGATTTGCTATCCGAATTACATGGAATTTAACTTGGCGCCAATTGTTGATATCAAATCTTTTATACAGATGATACATATATCATTAGATTTAGTACAAGCATTAACAGAATTTAACTTGGTACATATATGATTAGATTTAGTAAAAACATTAACAGAATTTAACTTGGCGCCACAATTGTTGATATCAAATCTTTTATACAGATGATCATACATCATTAGATTTAGTATATTTTGTGATATAATGATTTTCATGTAATAATTTTGAAGGGGAATAAAGCCATTATAACTTGGGTTGGAATGTATCCTATACAAAGAATTTCATCAAACAGCAAACGCAATTAGTCATCAGTTCCACGGCCGATTAAGTAATTGACGTTGGTGAAACCGGCCCAAATGGTGGTTTTCACACGAGAAGCACGCTTAGCGCTTTTTTTACATTTTTTTAAAAAAGTAAGTTTGTATACGATTAAAGTTACTATTACTGAATTAAAAAATCCCACCACCATCCCCATCGTCTTATAATAGTAATATCAAAATATCAAGACGATGATATAAAATTTCTATATAAGACTTCTATATAAAATTTAACTTGATAGAATTTAACTTAGCATCAATTGTTGACATCAAATCTTTATACGATAAGATATACGTATACTTAGGTTTCATTGTATAAAAATTATAATAAAGATAGTACCATTTGAATTAAATAAATAAAAAGATAGTATTACTTAGGTTTTACTTTTTATTTTGGTAGTAGAATTTTACTTGGCGCCACAGTTGTTGATATCAAATCGTTTGTATAAATAATACATATCATTAGATTAGATTAATATTCATTATTTATTTAATTTGGCATGGTATAAAGAAGTGGGATTTAACTTGGCGTCAGTTCTTGATATCAAATCTTTTATAGGAATGATACATATCATTAAAGTTAATATTATTTATTTAATTTGGTATTCGAATTACATGGAATTTAACTTGACGCCAATTGTTGATATCAAATCTTTTTTACGAATAATACATAAAATTTTGATAAAATTTTGATGAATTTAACTTGGCGCCAATTTTGTTGATATTAAATCTTTTATACGAATGATACATATCATTAGAGTTAAATAAATCAATAAAAATATTTTTTAAGAAAAAAATTTAAAGTTACTATTATTTTTTCTTTAAGAGAAATAAGATGGTAAAATTTAACTTGGCGCCAGTTATTGATATTAAATCTTTTATACAAGTTAGTAAATTTTGTGATACAATATAATGATTTTCATGTAATAATTTTTGAAGGGGAATAAAGCCATTATACATAACTTGGATTGGAATAAAGAAACCATCGATGAAAATATTATTGATTACTTTTTCTTTAGGAGGAATAAGAAGATAGTAAAATTTAACTTGACGCCAGTTGTTGATATCAAATCTTTTATACAAATAATACATATATCATTAGATTTAATAAATTTTGTGATATAATGATTTTCATGTAATAATTTTGAACAAAGTCATTATAACTTGGGTTGGAATGTATCATATACAAAGGATTTCATCAACTCGATAATCCTAATCGGTTATTAACTATCAAACCGTAAGTGATCAATTCTACTAAACAGCAAACGCGATTAGTCATCAGTTCCACGGCTGATTAAGTAATTGGCGTTGGTGAAACTGGCCTAAATGGTGTTTCTACACGAGAAACACGCACGCTTTTTTTACCTTTTTTTAAAAAGGTCATAATAAACTCGGAGCTGCACGGATCACTCGCGGCGCGGTTCAAAGTTGTTTAGGCGCTCTCAAGGCCAATTGGAAGAAATTCACCGTGTATCACAACAACTTGGTTAAAACCAAGCATGCCGAGATAGAGCAGCTTCCATACGTTACCGAAAAAACGTGTACTCTCTCTGTGAAGAGAAATTCCATGAAGCGCACGGATTTATGCTCGATGTGCTGGACCAGTTCGATCGCAAAGCGCAGCATGAGGCTACTGTTACCAGCGCAACTAATTCGCTTACAGGATCTCACTCTCGACGATTACCGCGCATCAACTTACCGAGATTTTCCGGCGACTACGCTCAGTGGAGCCCCTTTCGAGATCTCTTCAAGTCCATCGTTATGGAAAACAACGATCTCTCGGATGTCGAAAAGTTCCATTACTTAAAAATGAGTCTAACCGGTGAGCCAGCGCAACAATTGAAGAACATTCCCATCACTAGTGAAAATCTTAAACGCTCGTGGGAAATTCTCATGACTCGCTACGATAATAAACGAGTTCAGATCGACGCGCAATTATCCGCCTTATTCGCGATTCGCAAATTGAAAACGGCAGGTGCAACAAAAATAAAGAAACTTCTCGGCGATGTTAAAGAGGCGCTCGACGCCCTCGAAACTCTCGAATGTCCAGTGAAATCCTGGGACCACATTATCGTCTTCATGATCGTACGTAAACTCGACGTCGAATCATTGAAGGAATGGGAGACAACTCTCGGTGCAAAATCTACATCTCCGTCCTTCAGTGATCTAGAACAGTTCCTGGTTGGACGCGTGCAAACCCTGGAATCAATCGAACGAGTCATGATGCCATTTAAGCAACCAGCTTCGAATTCTACGTCGGTACGTTCGCAGTCAAATGCACGAGCATACGCCGCTACCGCTGCCGTACAACAGTGTGCAGTGTGTAGCTCGGGACATTATATCGCGTCGTGCCTGAAATACCTCGAGAAGACTGTGAATCAATGACGCGAGGTGGTCATCGCAAAAAATCTGTGTTTTAATTGTCTCGGACCTCATCACCTCAAGGCATGTCGCACTTCGAAACGCTGTCGGTTCTGTCGCAAGCAACATCACTCAACGTTGCATGTAGCTACGGTCGAATCCGACGCCTCGATGTCGTCCACTGCGACGGTAGTCCCCGTCCCGTCGGCTAGCGGCCCTACCACGGACAACTCTGGAGCATCTCAAACCAACCAACAATTCGGCGCTTCTCACACGTGCAGTCGTATTGCACAATCATGCATAATTAAATGCACTCCAGTGCTCCTTGCTACCGCTTTAGTTACAGCTATCTCTCCAGCTGGAGAACGATTCCAGCTACGGGCATTGCTCGATCAAGGATCGGAAGTTTCGTTTATTTCCGAGTCCGCTGCGCAGCTTCTAAAATTGTCACGTAAACCCGCGTCCGTCCCGATTCTCGGAATTGGCGCACAACGCTCCGATGTCTCAAACGGACGGGTCTCTCTCGAAATTATCTCGCGGATCAATTCGGCATTCTCCATCAAACTGGAAGCTCTCGTACTGCCGAAGCTCACCGCCTACTTGCCACTCACGAAGATTTCATCCACTCACTGGCCACACATCGACGGACTCCGCCTTGCGGACCCGAATTTCTCAATGCCAGGAAAAATTGATTTAATTCTCGGTGCAAGTGTCTACGCGCAAATTCTCGAAAGTGGTATTCGCCGCGGAAACGGCGAATCACCGATCGCGCAAAAGATCGTTCTCGGATGGATATTATCCGGACAACTCTCCAACCATAACGATCATCTCTCGCAAGACGCAATCACGGATTTCAGTGTTCTCTCGATTGTGAACTTCTTGATCTACTCCAACGATTTTGGCAACAAGAAGAAATCGTGCCGTCGCCTAATGCTACCTGCACACCGGAAGAAGCTCAGTGTGAACTTCACTTTAAAACGACTCACTCTCGTGACGCTCACGGGCGGTTCGTAGTTCGGTTGCCGTTCCGACAAAGTGTGAATGGTTTCGGTGACTCTCGTGCTCCAGCGTTCAGGATGCTGCGTCGCATGGAAACACGCTTCGAAACGCACGCATCCCTCAAAACTGCATATGCGGAATTCTTACGTGAGTATCTTGAGCTGGATCATATGCGCCTTTCAGGCTTTCTAGACTCTTCGCGACGCGAATTCTTTCTGCCGCATCACGATGTCATTAAAGACTCTAGCTCAACGACGAAACTCCGCGTCGTGTTCAACGGATCACAAAAAACCAATCTCGGAATCTCGTTAAATGATTGTCTTCATATCGGACCGAAACTTCAAACGGAACTTACGGATATCATTATTCGTAAGTTGGCGTCGACATCGTTTCATGTTCGCAGCCGATATCGAAAAAATGTATCGCCAAATCCGCGTTCACCAAGACGATTGGCCGTTGCAAAAAATTCTCTGGAGAGACTCGCCCAACGAAAACCCGCGCGAATATCTGTTGTGTACAGTGACATACGGTCTCGCGTGCGCGCCATATCTCGCTCTTCGTTGCTTACAGCAACTCGCTCTCGAATTTGAAACCACGCGCGCCTTTGCTGCAGAAATCATTCGTTGCGACACATATGTTGACGATATTCTGTTAGGGGCAGATACAGTAGCTACCGCAAAAGAAAAAATTCAGCAACTTCAAGACACGCTCACGGCGGGCGGCGTTAATTTAAAAAAGTGGGTTGCAAATTCTCCAGATCTGCTCGTAAACATCTCAGCTCACAATCAAGAAGTGTCCGCGATCCTACCGGTCGGCGATCCGGCTACGCATTACGCGCTCGGCGTTCAGTGGAATCGACTCAGTGACAGTTTCATGTTCTCCGCGCCGTCGCCTCCGCGGACATTCGCAATCACGAAACGCTCAGTACTCTCGTTTATCGCGCGCATCTTTGATCCGCTCGGATGGCTCGCGCCGATCATTATCAGTGCAAAAATCTTTATGCAAGAACTGTGGGCTATTCGTCTTGATTGGGATTGCGAACTTCCGGACGACCTCAAATCTCACTGGATCGACTTTCTCGCGCAATTTAAAAACTTGTCGGTGATCTCTATTCCGCGCTGATTCGGTACGAGTTCGGATACCCTCGAAGTGCAACTTCACGGATTTTCGGACGTCTCTCAACACGCCCTCGCGGCGGTTGTTTATATTCGTGTTGTTTCGCCTAGTGACATTCACGTGACCCTCGTCAGTGCAAAGACAAAAGTGACTCCTCTCAAACGCGTAACAATACCTCGACTCGAGTTATCCGTTGCCGTGCTTCTCGTGAAATTGATTGTGCCTCTCATCTCTGGACCGATTCTACTGTCGCGCTGGCCTGGATCAAGAGCCATCCATCAAGATGGAAGGAATTCGTGCAACATCGGGTATCGTTCATACAAGAACTGTCAAACTCTCGTTGGCATCACATCGCTGGGAAAGAAAATCCCGCCGACTTGGCATCGCGAGGAATCTCTCCGCAACGACTACAGCAGGAGCGGCTCTGGTGGTCGGGACCTCAATGGCTCCAACGAACCTCCACTGAGTGTACTCCAACGGTTGGAGCGAATATACGTTCTCGCGAGGTGAATCTACCGGTTTGTTTTTGTTTAAGAGTTGCGCTAATTTCTGGAAGTGGGGGAAAGGATCTTGGTTCGAATTAAGAGCTGATTTGATTCGAAACCTCAATCTCTTTTCTTGTTGTCTACGTCCGCCTTTACTAGGCATGGAGGTGTTGTAAAAGAATAAATGTTTGAAAATTTCGAAGGAGTACCGCAGGACGGGGGCCACGCTATTGGCAGCGACAATCCTAACAGCCCTCTGAATATGAGATACTTATAATTTCTCAGAAGAAGCGATATCAGACGGGGGCCACGCTATTGGCAGCGACAGTCCTAACAGCTCCCTGAGTACTTATAATTTCTCCGAAGAAACGATATCAGACCGGGGCCACGCTATTGGCAGCGACAGTCCTAACGACTCCTCGGATACTTATAACTGAGTGTAATTGAATATAATTGGATGTAACAGAATAGAGATTTAGGTTTCTGGCGAGTTGGTTTAGTATTTTTAGCCTTTAATAATAAAAAAAATAAAATAATGAGAGAATACAAGAATGAATAGTAGCGCAAGGATAGGTTCACTTACTTCTAGAATAGTTTTCTACCTTTTTCTCCGCTGTTTCTGCTTTTGGCAGCTCCTTTTATACTAGAAAATGAGTATGGGAGTGTCCTTTCAGGACCAATCAGTACTCCTCAAAATTTGGTAGAACCTATGCTCGCGCTCGTTTCCTTAAGATAAGGCAGCAGGGCTCCGCGTAAGCCCCACTCCCGACACTACGAGTCTAGTTTTAATAATTTATAAAAGTTCGATCTTTCTTAACTAATATCCCTACGCGAGGCGAAGTGTGACAACATATTCTAAATTTTAAATTGGTTTAAAATATACATTATAACTTTATTTATCATAATTTTTTGATAGTTTTTAATTTCATTAAAAATAAGAGAAAATGTGAAAAGGAAAAATAAAAGATATTCATCCTCGCGTTCGGGAAGGTCTTAATTTTTAACATACTACTTAATTATTAGACATATATGCTATTGTTTAACTATTTCTTAAATAAAGGCTCTCAAAAGAAAAAGATTGTAAAATAGCTATTCTTTTATCTATGTGACGCATAAGGGTATGCGAGCGTAAGCTGTCTGTTTGTCGAGAAGTAAACAGACCCTCTCGTAAAAAGGGACGGTTGGAATATAGTTTCGAAATAAAAAATAGGAACAAACTAAGACGTAATACTAAACTAGAGATAGGATAAAGATAATATATGAATCATATATTTATAATAAAGAAGAGGAGAATTTTCGGGATGTAACAAGTGGCCTGCCTCCACCTGCACTTTAAGTCCGGTCGCACAAGGAGAGGAACGTGCACGAAGCTATGCCGTCGCCATAGTCAGCCCCGAACCGGAGGCATGGGATCTCATAAAAAGATACTCTTCTCTCACCAAGCTACTCCGCATCACCGCATGGATTCGACGCGCCATCGAACGTTTTCGCAAAGCTACCGATGCACACGCCGCTCAAGATCCTCTCACTCCGCTCGAATTGGACTCTGCGCTCGCCTTCTGGATCAAATTGACGCAACATGCGTGTTTTTCTCTGGAAATTCAACTCATCAAAGCAAACAAACCACTACCGAAATCAAGTCCATTACTCTGCCTCATCCCGTTTATCGATACCGATGAATTGCTTCATCTCCGAGGTCGCCTACAACATTCTCAATTGGCTCGAACAGAGAAACATCCGCTAATCCTACTTCGAAGCTCTCGATTGACGGAACTCATCATCGATCATTATCATCGAAAGACGTTTCATGGCGGTCCGCAGCTCACGCTCGCATCGATACGACGCCAATTCTGGATTCTCGGCGGTCGCCTTCCGATACGCTCATTCATCCGCCGATGTCTAGTCTGTACACGTCAACGAGCAGCGACTGGTCAACAACTCATGGGACAGCTACCGGCATCGCGTGTAACTCCATGTCGACCGTTCTATCATACGGGAGTCGATTATGCCGGCCCGTTAACGCTCAAGACTTTCCGTGGACGCGGAGCCAAAACATACAAAGGATACTTCATTATCTTCACATGTTTCAGCACTTCAGCAATACACCTCGAAGTAGCGACCGATTACTCTACCGAGGGCTTTATTGCCGCATACAAACGCTTCACGAGTCGCAGAGGCCTCTGTTCCACCATCACGAGCGATTGTGGCACCAATCTCGCTGGAGCAGATGCCGAATTATAACGACTCTTTCAGACCTCGTCTCGAGAGTGGTCTCGTATCGCCGCTCATCTCGCTATCGACGGTGTCACGTGGAAATTCAATCCACCTTCCGCCCCGCATTTCGGCGGCAAGTGGGAAGCAGGAGTGAAATCAGTTAAGTTTCACCTTCGTCGAGTCATCGGTGAGACCTTGCTCACCTACGAAGAGATGACAACGCTCTTGACCCAAATTGAAGCGATCCTCAACTCTCGCCCCCTAACGGCTCTCTCGGATGACCCATCGGACATCTCCGCACTTACGCCAGGACATTTCCTCGTAGGCTCAGCTCTCATTGCCGTGCTTGAACCGTCTCTGCAAGATCTATCAGAAAATAGACTAACTCGATGGCAGCTCTTACGCCAGATGACAAAGTCATTTTGGCAACGCTGGGCTACCGAATATTTATCACAGTTTCAGGTCCCCTCAAAGTGGCATCGGGCTCACAATCTTTACCAAATCGGAGCTCTAGTTCTCGTCAAGGACGAACAACTTGGTGGGAACCTCCCACCAAGTGGCCTTTCGCACGCATCATTGATGTATACCCTGGCTCGGACGAACTCATCCGCGTCGCTACGGTGAAGACGGCTATCTCAACTCTCAAGAGACCGATTGTGAAGTTGTGTTTGCTACCGAGAGTAACGACCGATTCAAACGAACAGTGACTATATTCATAATGTAAACTCCCGCCTAATTTGATTTTATTTCGGTTCTTTTGACAACTAATATAGTTGCCAAGGCGGGCGGAATGTTTAGACTAAACTCAGTAAATGTTCATTATGCGAATTATTTTACATCGGCATATTATATTCAGACTCATACAACTCATATTATTAAACATGTATGCTCGTTATCGATTTACTTTCAACGATTATTTCCATCGATAATTATTCTGTACAAACCGCGCTTGTTACCGGTACCGACACTGGCAGAATTTATGATAGTGTTCTACCGATCAGCTGTTTACTTCGTGTCATACGATGTATACATTTGCAACCTTTCCTTTGTTCTCGCGAAGCGAAGGATATCTCTCGATACGTGTGTGTATCTATCGCTTAACGATCAAGTTCAGTTGACTTCGAATAAAGATCAGCAGCACATCTCATTGTACATCGCTCTAATTCTCTATTCTTTTCTACACCTTCTGACTCCTCGTGATTGTTCGAGTATAATTCCGACATCACCAGCGGACCTGGTTTCCGGTACCACTTTCCTTTCGCAATACTCACAACATTAGTGACTAAAGAAGATGCAGAAAAAGCACGCAAAGGTATGTATATAATTAAAATTCCAAATTATATAAAAATTTTAAATTATATAAAAATTACTATTTTTTAATTTGTAGATATAATTTTTGCCACGTTGTTGTATGAACAAGCGAAAAAATATAAAAAACAGCCAATTACACAAATTATTAATGCTGGTAATACAAATATATACAATAATAATTATATTGTATAAGTTCATAATGTATGTAGAATTATTTTATTTCTTTTAGCAAGTACTAGTACTGGAAACCTAACCTTTACAAAGATGTCTGATGTTGAATGTACAGAAGGTAAATAGGTATTAATATGTAAATTTGCATGTAAATGTTTAAAAGATTTAAAAAATTCCATTTGTTTCTATTTATGATATAGATAAATATATATGGAAAAGGAACGAAACAATATTATTGTTACAAACATATGGTGAGTATGAAAATGAATTACATAATGGAAAGCAAACTGTAAAACAATACTGGGAAAAAATCGCAAAAATAATGCAAGAAAAGGGCTACAGTGTTGTGTTGTAACAGGATTTAAATGTTCGACAAAATTTCAAGCCCTTAAACGACAATATAAATGTGTTTTGGATTATAATAAAAAAAGCGGAAGTAATAGAAAAGAATGGGAATATTTCAAGGTAATGAGAATATAATTTCAAACATTCTTAAACTTTTATTTAAAGATATATGACTGTAATGTATGGTATATTTATACATTAATTAAACATGCACTTCAGATCATGCAAGAATTATTTGAAAAAAAAACCATGGGTTCAGCCTCTGGCAGTTGCAGGATCACATGTAGAAACGGAAGAAAAGGAAAATATATCGGAAAATAAACCAGAAAAAAGTAAAGCATATAATATTGTATATAAAAATGTATATGTACAAACAAAATACGAGAGATATAAAATAAACATCTTTGATGATTGATAATTATAATTTCAGGTAATAAAAAGAGGAAAGTAAAAGATCTTGTAGAAGATTATATATCACAAAGTAAAGAAGAACGAAAAAATCAAAGAGAAATTAGGGCTAAGCAATATGAGGAGAAAATGCAGTCTATTAAAAGAATAGAGAATTTAGTGGAAAAAATATTACAAGAAAAAAAGTAAAAAATGTTTTGTTTTTATGTTTACATAATTATAAGGTTTAAAGTGTTACATTTCTAAAATGTTTAAAAATCTAAATATCTAATACACTAGTTTTAAGAGTACCAATATAAACATGCCAAAGACTATAATAGTATCTATTAAGTATGTTTTTGTGATATCAGTACAAAAGTATTTTTTAGTTTGATCTTTATGGGCGTCGATATGTGAACATTTTGTTTCTATGTGATAATATCAGTACAAAACATTTTTTAGTTATCTTTTTATGAATAGTGATAAATATTAACTTTTTGTTATGATTTTTAATATAAAATTTATTTGTTACATATATAAGTTATAATTACATAATTAAGTAACATAAAGAATAAAATCAAGAAAATATACATGGTTTGAATATAAACAATTATTATAGTAAAGAGGTCAAGCATTAAACTACAACACTGGATGACGTTGATGAAAATTTATATCTACTATAATATGTGTATTATAATAGACATAAATTTTTACTAACGTCATGTGTTGTGGTTTAATGCTTGACCTTTACTAATTGTAAACGTAAAGAATAATATTATCCTTCAGTTTTTTAATATTATAACTTATAACGCAGTAAAGTTTTTATTTTAGTTTATACTTCTAAATTTGAAATATGTTTTGAAATATTATATGTTTTCACAATATAATAAACATACTAAAATGATAGAGAAAAATATTATACTTTTTATATTTTATATTTACTGCAAATATATCCCATAGAGCACCTCCGTAACATCTCTTGGATAGGATGTGTTGTGCCTAATTGAAATATTAATAGACAGGAACATATAAATGCAACAATGAATTTATTTTTGTACTTTTTCTTATATATATTTGTATATTTAAAAAACATTTTGCAAGGAATACATAATAGCATTTCTTTTATCAATACCCTCGTTTTGTACATTATTTTCAATAATTGTTGCCTGTTCCTGTATAACATCAGATTCATTAATAATAATAGGAATATCAATTATATCATGTTTCAATAAACAGATATTATGGAGAATGCAGCAGGCGATTATATATTTTGGAATTAAATCCGTTCTAAGCATTGGAAGAATATCTAAAATACTTCGGAAACGACATTTTAATAAACCTATGGCTCGTTCAATCATCATTCTAACAGTAGATAAACGTTTATTGAAATTAATTTGCCTTTCAGATAAGTGCCCATTGTCTCTAAATGGTACCATTACATATTTTGATATAGAATAAGCTGCATCTCCCAGTAAATGACTATTATTAGAAAAATTGGCTTCTGTACACATACTTTCAATATTGGATAATCTAAAAACACGGTTGTCATGTACAGAACCAACCTGTCCAGCATAACAATGCATGAATTTCAAATCTGCATCACAAACAACCTAAAACAAAATGAGTTATACATAATAATATAACCCTGATAGCAAAGTCTGCAGAAACAGATTTGGAGCAGAGCCTGCTGACAATTTTTGATTGCAGAAAGGCAACAAATTGTAGACAAAGTCTATATTATCAGCAAACAGCAGATATTGTCAGCAAACTGCTGTCAAACTGCTGACAACGTCTGCTGACATGTCAGCAGAGGTTGCTCGGTTTTTGCCATCAATCTGCTGCAAAACATGTCAGCAAATGTTGTCGTCAAATCCATAGCCAAATGCGGACGCAGATGGCTACGGTTTTGTAGTCTGATCGAGTTTGCTGCCAATTTGCGCGCAAATTGGCATCATTTTGCTATCAGGGAAGTTATATTATTTCTCTTGTTCTTTTATTTGCTTTGTTATTTATTTTTTGTCTTTTTTGTATTTAAAAAATTTTTTTTATGAATTAGTATTTAAATATTTTTGGTATATTCATAATATTTCTATAGCATATAAGTTATGAATATAAAACATTGAAAATATTTCATATAGTTATATAATAAAGATTATATTCTACAATAAATTAGTATAGAATAAAAAGCTTGATAAATAAGATTAATAACTTACTTGCAATTGAATAGAATGATATCCTTTTCGATTAATATATGAATCACTGTGATCCCTTGGTGCAGCAATTTTAATGTGTGTCCCATCTACTGCACAAATGACTCCTGGGAAACTATAATTTTTATGTATTCTTTCTATGGTTTGTTCTGCCTCTTCCATTGTCGGCCAACGAATAAACTTTACATGTTACATGTACATATAAAGCATTAACTACTTTTTGCACAATTCGCCAGGCTGTACTTTTACCTACATTAAATCTATCAGAAACACACCTAAACAAATTATTTGTTAAATAATGGTAATATAAATTTACAACTATTGTAATTAATATGCATGCAGTATATGTGTGTATCTATAGGAATTTGGAGTAGCTATCATCCAGATAGCTAAGAGTAATTGTTTCTCAGGATTTATTGAATGCCTGCCAAATTTATGTTGTCTACATAATTGTGGTTGTAATAATTCCAATAAAAATTTGAAAGTATTTCGTTTCATTCTGAAATAACAAAATATATTACAATAGATTAACAGCTTTCTTTTAAAACATCTGTATGTCTTTAGTTTTAATTAAATCTGAGTGTATAATATATCAAATGACAT